GTAAACTTGAAACTTGTTCCTGGTTATAAGAAAGTCATTAAAAAACCTATGGACTTTTCTACCATTAGAGACAAGCTAAGTAGTGGACAGTAAGTAAACCTATTGTAAATTTTACTTTACATTTTAAAAATATTTAAACACTGAAATACAGTGTGTTTTTTAAATAAACTAAACCATATTATTCTGCTCTGACACATCTGTGATTACTTTTACAGTCAAAATAAAAATTCTTGTATGCTTTTATCTGTGCCATATCCAAGTGAAATAGTGTGTTGGATAGGAGAATGTGTGGAAATGGCTGAAAAGCAATAAAACTGCCTGGTCAAATGCACCAAAGCAATCAACAGGAAGGCTTTTTTCCCTGGTCTTTTTTCATGGAGATACCTTAGTGTTAACTGCCTGTCAGATGTAACTAAATGTGTAGGCTTTAAGCTACTGAGTCCCTGTAAATGATGTGGCTGTGGAGTGAATTGCCAGCTCAGTTGTGGGTAACACTCCTGTAATGGTGGTTAATCATTTTATAGTCCTACAAATTAGACTGCACAGATTCTTAAAAGAGAAGGCCACACTACATGCATGCCTCTGTGAACCTTCCCTCCTTGTTGATATCCCTGTGCTCTAATGAATTTGTGAAGATGGACTCTGCAGTGTCTGTCAGCTCTACACAAAGCAACTTTCCTAGGATAGCACAAGGAGCTTTTTAACCTCTTCAGGCTTTTTCTCCCATGAATATGAGATTTAAATGCACCCCTTGTGCTCATATCAGTAGACTTGTAACTTTTATTCTTATTTTTAATAATTCGTGTGAATATTGGAACACATTTTAGGCCATTCAGGGGTATGTTCAGGATAATAAAAAGAATTTTCAAAGACAGTGTCACAGGATTATCTGGGCAATAACCCTTTTTTGTACCCATTTGTTCCTCACTTAGATAAATTCAGCTCTAGTCAACATTTTGGAAGGGCCCTGAGCCCAAGAATACATGCATAAATGGGAAATAGCCATAGCATTTTAGCTAGAAAGCTGTTGAAGAGAAGGAGGAATTAGTTTTATAGAAGTTTGTTTTTCCAGTACAGGCATGAAATTCTACCTTACAAAACTTCTGAGGAAAATAACAAAACAGTGACAAGAGAATATTTCCATTCACTGGAATAAAATATTCATTTTATTAGAAATTCTAATTTAAATTCTTAAATATTTTCTCATGTAGTTGAAATACATTTCCCCCTTGATTCTCTGTGTTCCAAAAACGATTCACTTTTTTCTTTTTTCAGGTACCCTAATCTTGAAGCATTTTCGCTGGATGTCAGGCTTGTTTTTGACAACTGTGAAACTTTCAATGAAGATGATTCTGACATAGGCAGGGCTGGCCATAACATGAGGAAGTATTTTGAAAAAAAATGGACAGAGATTTTCAAAGTGAGCTGAAGCTACTAGAAGTCTTTTTTTCTTTTATTTTTTTTCCATTAAATGAGGACTGATAAGACCAGCAATGTGAACTATATTTACATGGAAGTGCAAGGCACATACATAACTAATTTTTTCCTTTAAAATATCACAGAGTTGTGATACTAGTTTTAAAGGCTTCACTCCTACAGCAACCATGGCCCCTTGGTTATTGGTTTGTGTGTTTTAAACTAATTTAGGTAGAACAGGGAAGCACACCCAAAGAATTTCAAAGAAAGGGGTGTTATAGTGCAATAGCAATTTATGAAAACGCACTGAATATTCAACCACCAGAGCTCTACTTGGGGAAATGGTTATCTTTTCCCTTTCAATAAATATCTATTTTTCATTTTTTTTACTTTGTAGTTTATTTTTTAGTGAATGTATTTAATTTTATGAATTATTTATGATTATACAGCATTCAGAATCTTCGTTTTCTGTGAAAAGGAAGAACTAGAAAATTGCTTTAAATGTTGAAAATACAACAAGGAATGTTTTAAAATATAAAACAAAGCCAAGTAAAACTGTTTACACTGATGTGCTGTGAAGGCACTAAAAATTAAACTTTACTGTAGAGTTACAAGTACATTTATATATATGTTGCTGCATCACCTGTGTAGTTAAATTGTATTTCAAGACAAGTGAAGAAAAATTGAGACATGTATATACTGTTCATTATTGTTTATATTAAGTCTTGTTTTAAATATGTATGATGTGTACATATTGTTTGCAGACATTATTGTTTATGCCTTAGGAGGATGGTAGCATTTTATTTTAGTCTTAAGGTAATTATAGCTCTATGGCTTGTACAGTAATTATCCTCTACCAACACTGTGGAGTCTCCTTAATCTTGGTAGTGCCTGCCTTTAAAACAGGGTGTAGGGGATATTAGTTTTCCATTTTTCTATTTTGTTATATAATTTCAAGCCCCCATGGCCTCAAATTCAAGTATAATCATTTGTATCCATGTGAAAGAAAATAGTGACAATTTCCTACGCACACAGTATTTTTTCATAGAAACATTTCCCTCCATTTGCCTTGCCACAGAATAACAAAAGAAGACATTTGTAACCACTGTGTTTTATCTGCTGTGTGTTGTGGTGGCCTGTTGGGGCAGATAGATTGGAATTTTTTTTGTACTAATGTAAGAGTACTTGAAGTTTTATTTAAAAGAAATGTTGTGGAAAGGTAGCATTCTTTTTCTTTTCCTTTTTTAGGAGTGTTATTTTTCACTAGTATGTGTGGCACGGATAAAATAAAAGACTGTTTTGCAAACCAGATTTTCTTGGCAATTTTAATACTTCAGGTCCTGTGTATACAAGTTTTTTGGTTTGGGGTTTTTTTATATACAATCTTGTGAGTCTTGCATTTAACCTTCAGTTCTTTTTATGATGCATCTAATTCTCCTGGGTTGTTAATGGTAGTTCATAAGGAAGCAATTGCCAAGCAGTCAGAGAGCAGTTCTCTGCCTGTAAATAACGGCGGTGTGCCAGGCTGATCCATGTCCTCACAGACGTGGAAATGCACACATTTGGTCATGTTTCTGAAAACCACCGTCCTTGTAAGGTTTTGTCCCTTTTTTGGCCTGCAGAAGGGCATTAAAATCATAACCCTTTCTCTGACTTCTTTATTTTAATAAAATACAGGAATTACAAACAGATATTGTGGAACCACTGTATCTGTAGTTCTCTCACAAAATAATGTTGGGGGGGTGTTGGTTTTTGCTTTTTAACTAGGTCTGTCATTTTTGAGTCTTAGTGCCTGTTTTCAATGAATGTTTCTATTGTTCTCCCCAGAATATCTTGTTCAGTAATATTTTCCATTATCCCAAAGTTCTGTTAGAAGAATCTTGATTATTTTTTTTTGAATAAAAAAATCACATTTGGGTGTCGGACAGTCTTGCACGCTGACATGAACTTCCACACAGACTGCTCCACGCCTTTCCTTTCTATGCCCATTCTGAAGACTTAAGAGGTTTGCTGACACGTACCAAAGATGTGAAGATTAATCACCATTTTGATTTTATGATGGTAAGCTTGTAAGAAGGTGTTCCAAATATTCTTAGATAATTGAGAAATCTAGTTCTTCAGTGATTTTTTGGGTCAGATTCTGTACTGGTTAATGCTTTGTCTGCAGTACTAGAACTGTTAGTTTCCTGAAATGTCAGGTTATCACCTACACTACATACAATATTTATGATACAAGTTGCATTTTTTTTCAGCTTGTATCCCAGTTCAGCTGAACTGCTGGGAAGGTGGCAACAGCTGCTGTAATGATGACAGTGAGACAAGCATCACCACTGTCTAACTTGACATGGGCAGTGTATTGCTTTCCTTGCTAACAGTCATTGTCTTCATTAGTCTTGCAGTAAAATTAAATTTACAGGAGATAATATGTTTAAATGGCAAGCTTGAGTCACACATATGCCTTCATATCCATAGAAAAGAGCAGGGATTTAACCACTAGAAAAATGTTCGTAACGTTTCCCCTTGGCTAATTTTCTCTCCTGTTGATGTTTGTATGTTTTAAGAGGAAAAATTTTCCAGTGTGCTCTCACCCTTTCTGAACAAAGTGTGCCAGTTTTAGTTTAGAGAATTTATTCTGAAACTTTCAAATTTAATAAGTACCGTAATAGTCCTCAATGAGAAGAGTGTTTTGGGTTGAGTGTGGGTTCTCTTTTGTCTCATCATCTCTTTGAAAAAAATGGGATGATAAAAAAGCAGCTGAAAATCAAAATACGTATCTTTAAAAGGAGGTCTAAAGCCTTATTTTTTTTAGTAGTGGCTGTCACAATTCAGAGCAATGAAAGGCCAGGCTTTCACAGAGTGTGCAGTCAAACAATGTGCTGTAAAACAGTATGAGATGGTACAGACTAAACATGGAAGGCCGATCATTTAGGGAATGCTGCCCGGACATAGTGACTCCGAGAAAGTAACTGTCTTTCTCAAAACGTGTAGGTGTCGGCTTAACCATTTATTATGCATGAGTTGCTGAGTGAGGGGGAGAGGGTGATGCTTTAAATTACCTGACAGCTGCTGGGCCTGGGGGAGCACTCTTTGTTGGAACTCCCCTTAGCGCTGCTCGAGGGCCCCGCCTGTGGCGGGCGGAGGCCGGGGCGAGGCGGTCACCGTGTCGATCTCAGCGGCGGAGCGTGGCCGCGCTGCCCGCTCGGACACGGCTGGCGCCCGGCACTTGGCGGATCTGAGGGCGCGGCAGTGGCCGGGAGCATCCGGCCCCGCTGACATCCCGCAGGTGCTGGCACCGCCCGCACCCACGCAGGGTTCGTGCCAAGGCAGCCATAGCGCCGGCGGATGTTGTGCGGCTCCGGGCCGGCATGGAGGGCTGAAGGTCGCACGGTCCGCGCCCGCGCTGCCTCAGGGCCGGTACAGATGGCGGCGGTGAGAGCGGGAAGCGCAGCGCCGGCTTCCCCCCGCGGCTGGCGCACAGTGGCGCGGCCCGCAGCGGGGCGGGTCTGCCCGGGCCGCGCCAATGCCGGGAGGCCGGGGGGGCACCGTGCGTGCGCAGCTCCCTGGGCCGTGCGCGGGAGGTCGAGGCCGGAGGCGTCACGGTCGTAGCGCGGGAAGTGCGGGCGGGATCCCCTCACGGCCGGGATCCCCTCACGGCCGGGCAGCCGGGCCTGGTGGCCGCGGGGCCCCCGCGCAGCCGAGGCAGCGTGTTGTTTGCCCGACACCTGCCACTGGAGCTCTAGGTGATTCCGCCGACCTTCCGAGTGCGTCCCGGCCGCGCTGCCGGCGCGATGGATTGGGTGGGGCTAGGCTGCGGCAAAGAGCAGTAGGGAAGTGGCTGCCAGCCGCGTCGAGAATTGCTGTAGCTCTTTCTGTGGGCAGGTGCTGCTGTTTTTGGATTATGTGGAAAAATGCGAATTTCCCAGAGGAGATGATGCTGTGGCGCTGAATATCTCTCTGGTGGGTGATGAATGATCCTGCTGCTCCTCGCTCCCTCAGTCGATTTATTGACACTGAAACTTCTTGTTCTTAGGTCTGCTTTCCTGCAATGAGCTGCTGAAAGTCTCCTCACAGTGAGATCAAGGTGTTTTTTTCAGCTCATCTTTCCACATGTCAAGCTTTGCCTGACTCTTCGGTTTCTGGCAGTTAAAGTATGTTTCTTTTCTTTCTGCAGCCAAGATATTATATTGATACTACTTCATCTGTTTAATGGTTTTAAAGAGAATAGTAGTAAAACTGAGTATCCCAAAGCTAAAACAGGTAGTATTCAATGAACTGTAGCTAAATTGGTGTGCCATACACTGTCTGAAGAGAACAAGTGTTTTGCCCTTACATATGCACCTTTGTACCTGTGCGTATACGTACATATCTCTGCATGTGTGCATACATTTATACATTCTTGCATGTCCACACACATACAAGCAAATGTGTGTATGTTTCTATGTAAAAAAAAAAAAGTGTGAGTATACATGGTTTAGTTCATAGATGCCTCAGCACTGAAATTATTATTCAGAGTGAAGCACTTATCTTAACCAGCAAATTATTATTTAAGTTAACTCAATATAAATAGTATTACGGTGGTTTTTTTAAAATTATAAACAGCTTATAAGAGCTGTAGGCACTTCATTTTGGCTCCCTGCTTCCTTATTCTCAGGAAAGCTGTCTGTGATCTGCAGCATAGGGAGTAACTGGTTGGAATGTATCTCTTCAGGGATTTCCCTGATCTCAGCAGTGTAAATTACTTGTCTGATACAATTTAAACTGGTTCCAGCAGTTTTAAGTCCTGGGAAAATGCGTGTGAAGTTCACATTGTCTTTTGGTTGTTCTGTGTAGCAGCAAATGCAATTTCTGGAGAGGTTCCAATTGTGGTCACCCAATTAATTTTCACATTTTGACTTAAATGTTTTAGTCACTCTGGTCAAACCTTGGATTGGCAGCACAATTATGTGGTATTGAGCTGATGTATTTCCATCACTACTGTTTCTATCTCTGAAAGTAAGCAGAAGGGAGCTCTTGGACAAATTCAAACAAAACTGAAGAGGATGCAAGCAAGAACAGGTAGCCTGGGAGGACTACAGAGAGATCGTTTGAGCACTCAGGGATTAGGCTGGGAAAGCTGAAGTCCTGATGGAATTAAATCTAGACGGGGATGTCGGGGCAACAAGAAAATCTTCTATAGGTGTGCTGGTGATAAAAGTAAGATCAGGAAAAATGTGGGCCCTCTCTGGAGGGAAACAGAAGACCTGGTTATCCAAGACATGGAGAAGGCTGAGGTACTCAAATGACTTTTTTGTCTCAGTCTTCACTGGCAAGTGCTCTAACCACACTACAAAAAGGCTGGAGAGGGTCTTTTTACAAGAGCATGCAGTGATAGAAAGGGGGATGGATTTAAACTGAGAGGAGGTTTAGATTAGAGATTAGGAAGAAATTCTTGGCTGTGAGGATGGTAAAGCCCCGGCACAAGGTGCCCAGAGAAATTGTGGCCCCTGGATCCCTGGAAGCATTCAAGGCCAGCCTGGACGAGGCTTGGGGCAACCTGGGCTAGGGGAAGGTGCCACCTTCCACTATCCTACCTACCTATCCTGCCCCTAACTACCATGGCAAGGGGTGGAACTGAATGGGCTTTAAGGTCCCTTCCAACCTAAACTAGTCTGTGATTTTAAGATTCTGTGCTTAAACAATGCTAGGTGAAAAACTTGCCTTTGCAAATGAGTTTTTATTTCTTTTTTTTTTTCCTTCAGAATTTGTCTTGCTAAGGTAGTACGTTTCATTTATGAAACAGGAAAATTAAGTCTAACTGTTAAACTCTTTTTCAGATTTTAATTTTTTTTGAATGGCGACATTAATTCACACTTTAGCAGATCATAGTGATGATGTCAACTACTGCGCCTTCTCAACGTCGTGCTTGGCTACTTGTTCCTTGGACAAAACAATTCGTGTTTATTCTTTGAGCGACTTCACGGAGCTCCCGTACTCGCCTTTGGAAGGGCACGCGTACGCTGTGCACTGCTGCTGCTTCTCGCCCTCGGGACGCGTGCTGGCCTCGTGCTCCACGGACGGCACCGCCGCGCTCTGGGACAGCCGCGATGGCCGCAGGCTGGCCGTGCTGCAGCAGCCCGGGGCCAGCCCCGTCAGGGTCTGCCGCTTCTCTCCTGAGGCCACCTATCTGTTGGCAGGGGCAGCCGACGGCAGCGTGGTTCTTTGGAACGTGCAGTCCTTGAAACTGTACCGGTGAGTGCCAAATATGTTTTGACAAATACTTTGTTTCGAAGTGAAAATAGTTCAAGTAGTATTCTCTACTGTATGCAAGATATGCAGACTTACACCTCTGATGGTATCAGAAAGAAGCTGGGATAGGATTTAGATGACCAAAAGAGAAGTGCTGAGTAGCTTTTTGGTTTTTTAAGTTAAACAACGTGAACTCAAGAAGCTTTAAATTTTAACAAAATTTAAATCTAAATCTTGATTTTTTTAAACTTCACTGATTTAACATGAGATCAGGATGCATTGCAGGCTGTATGCATCTGGTTTCTAAACAGTGGGTCAGCAAACTGTGATACATAATACACATTCAGTGGAGCCTGACTGTACTGTGTGCTTTTATATTGCATTACACATAGTATAAATTAAATGTTTAATTACCAGGAGTTCGGAGTCCAGGAAGGTCTTAGAAGCTTGCTGGTAATCCAGCAATCAGAGTTTGGAAACTATGGACTTGTCCTGAAACTGTACATTTTGAGACATAAAGTGACAGAAAGAAGTATTTGTGCTAAGTAAATTGAGCATGACAGTCAACATTTCACAGTTTTCCAAGAAACATTTGAAACAAAGGAGATGAGCATATTTATTGGTGTTGCACAGTTAAAGGCATGAACCTTAGAGCTATCTTCAGAGTTCTCCTCTATATCTCTGACTTCCAGTGAGTTCTTGAGGCCAGTTGTTGGAATCTGTACTTGGGCAAGACATTATTTAGATTTTAGGGCCCTATTGCACAACGAAATAACTCTCTAAAGTTAGAAGAGTAGTTAAGAATTTGAGCAAACTGATGTTTCACTCAGGATTGAGGGAGCAGCTGCTTCTGAAAGACAGAACTGTTTGATCTTGGTAGTCTCCTGTCAGGCATGTCCCTTCTTTTGTGGCCTCTTTGCTTTCCACAGCAGTGATTTATGTGGGAACTCTACAGTTTTTCAAAATGATTGATTAATAATCATAGTTACTTGAAATTGTGTAAATCTGGAAATTTGTCCATAAACAGAATTCTTACAGATTTCTGTCACCATGTGTTTTGTAATACATAAAGAAACATTGAAATGGCGGTTTTGTTTTACTTGACAATAAAGGGGTACTGATAACCTATTCTTTCCTAGTTTTATCTTTAAGAAAAATTGGGAAAAAAGTCATTAGTACTTTGAAATCTGAGGGTTTATGTGTTTTGAGACATAACTAGTGAAGAGATTATATTTTGTTATTCAGAATGTTTGTTGCTGAAGAGAAAAACCTAGAAGTATAAAAACATCATTTTTTAAAATTGTATGCTCTTAATACATGCAGTGATTCATGTATTAGACGTACATCCTAATTTTCTTCTAGTTGAATGGTGGCTGTATAATGACTACTTAGAAAATATATTATTACTAAGCAGAAATTATTCTGCTTTGGTATTTTCATTGTAGAGAAATAAGGAAAAACTTGAACATTCCCATCCTGTCCCCTTCAACTATTAAAAGTTAATTTCAGAGTCTTAACAGGCCAGCAGTAGTCAAGTTAACTTTATATCTGTTTTGGGATGTGTATGTGTGTATGTATTTTCAGCTGATCAATTTTTTTATTGTCATTTTTTGTAATTTTTTTGTAATTTTTGTAATTGCAGATAGAAAAAAGCACATGTCCTGTTTTTAAAAAGTTGAAATTAGTATCACACAGAAATCATCAAGGTACTTGGAAATTATGTCAGAGGAAGTTAGCTGACCATCTAATGTCCATCTGTGGTCCTTTGTTTCTCTTGAAACAGGTGATTGTGTTGATGCTGAAAATGACAAAACGTTTTACCACACTGTTTTCTCACTTGACTAAATATATGGGTAATTATAATAAAATAATGGTAATTATAATAAAATTACATAATATTTGCTCCTTATCTACTCAGCTGTTGTAAATGACGGTTTAAATTATGAAGTAAGATGGCTATTTAAATGATTTCTATGGTGGATGTGAACAAAAAAGCAAGTTGACTTACGTGTATTTCTTAGTGGTCTCTATTTCCTGTCCAGTAGTTAAGTTACAAAACTGGTATTTGGTCTGCAAGTTTTAAATGCCTGCACAATGCTATTTATTTTACTGTTGCTTTCAGAGCAAAATCTGCAACTTTTTGTATGAAAGAACGAAATTTGTAAAAGTGGCAGTAAAGATAAAGGATTGTACATATAAAAATGGGAAGCACTATAGTGGATTTGACAGTGTTCTTAATAAAATAATTAAGGGAGACAATGCTTTTTAGAAGGTCATGGGTCTGATTAGTGTGACACTGAGGAAAATTTATTGACTTGTCTTCTGTGACAATAAGTTTTACACCTCTGGCAGTAAATAAAATTTCTGTCAATAAAAGAGAATTAGCAGCTGTTCTATAAAGCACAATAGAGTAAATAGGACTGACAATTCTTGCCATGTGACTGTTTCTTATGGCTGTGATTTTCTCCTTGCACTTAAAGACTCAGCTATGCATGCTTGGCTGGATTTGGTGTCCATTAAAAGGAATGAGACTCTTTTGATTAGGTTATCAGATAATGTAAAGGATGTCAGGTTGACCCCACTTCCTTCCTGACGGTTGACCACACTTCCATTCCTGCTAGAAATTTTCTTTGAAGATCAGTTCTACAAAGTGCTTTGGCTGATTTAGTTAAAATACAGAATTTCTTTTCCACATTGCTTTTTCTGGTGTACAAGTGGTTCAAAATTAATCCCACATCATAGACCACAAAGTATTCTACTCAACTACAGCTTATCATATGGGCTGGTAGGTGTTCTCTTTGTCTCTAAAACCAGAAGAATTGTCAGTCTTTTTTCCCCTTGTTTGTGTACATGTAAATCTGTGTTAATGATAATTGTGTATTTATCTTTGACTTTTAAAATGTATTCTGCCATGGAATTTTAGCAGTGCATTATGTCTTTTAAGTGTTAAATCCTTGCAAATTGTCTTTAGTTTGAAAATTATTTTATCACTCAGTTACAATTATTGCCTTGGGCTGCCATCTCATGTTTTTCCTCCAGCTGTCAAAGAGCAAGTCTGGTCCCTGCTGCAGAACTTATTTGGTCTCTCTTCATAGGTGATTTGAGTTTCTCTTTCCTCTGTTAGTTAGTTCCAAAGTGCAAACCTTAGAAGAGCTTGGCGTATTGCATCAGACTGCATTTAAGAGATCACTTTGTAGAACTTTACCTACTCTAAAAAATCCTTTTGTACTCTTGCTTTTCAGATCTGGAAAAGTTAAAGGTGGTTCTTTGATGGCTTGTGCATTTTCTCCCAATGGAAATTTCTTTGTCACTGGATCATCAAGTGGTGATTTAACCATTTGGGATGATAAAATGAGATGCCTGTATAATGAAAAAGCACATGATCTTGGCGTTACCTGCTGTGATATTTCTTCACATCCAGTATCTGGTTAGTTATTCAACTCATTAGGGGAGGAACACTTAAAAAAATAATTTTTTTTTTTCTCCCTAGCTCTTTATTTCATATTCTTTTTGCCATTGGTGCTCAAGATACAAATGACCTTGTGAAGAGCTGATGTTTTAGAAAATTCTGAGTATTCTTAAGTAAAGGTTGTGGTCAGGCTGGTGGCAAGGAATGTAATAGGTCAACAAACAAAGCGATAACTTTAAGTAGCTAATTACCCAGTGGCAGACAATGGCATTGGAAGATGCAGTACTTGATTACCATTCCCACTTGACTCTTTCATACTTTGGTTCTCAAGGAGCAGGACTGGATTAAAACAATGCAGAGAGCTGTAAACCTAGTAAGCTAAATGCTTGGACTGTGGAATATGAACAGATAGGCTATTCTCCTGCACCTGACTCTGTCATTTAGAGGAATTTGGGGGAGTAATGAACCTAGAATTTCCTGTGTTCCACTAAGATGTTCCGAAATCTTAGAGCTGTTTTAGCATTTGCCCACAAAGTCATTTGCTTCCAATGGAGGTTAGGAAATTGGGAAGAAGCCTCATTGTAAGCTTTAGGAAGTAACGCAGCAACTTGACTTAACCACCTTGTATGTATATTTTCGTCCTTTCCAGATCTACTGCTGAGACAAAGTGATCTTCATCAACACATTTAGGTTTTTGTATTCAGAATACACAAGCTGCCATTTCAAAGGCCCCAAAAGTTATAACTGAGCAGCCACTTGCATCTTCAAGTGCTGAACCTGGCAATAAGTACAACCCTATCTAAGAGGTGGTGCAGAGCAGGAATAAAACAGGAGAGAAGCAGTGGGGAAGAAGGCAAGAAAGGAGCAGGAGGAAGCTGAGGAAGAATGATGTGAACATACACTTCAGAACAGAGGATTAGTGATTGACAATATCAAATCAAACAAATGTGTGTCCACTGAAAGGTGTAGGATCTTTTGTGGTGAAAATAATACACAAAAAACTCCATCGTGAACTAAGAGTTGCATCTGAGGGCAAAAAATACATTGCAGCTGGAACAGATCAGTGTGTAATTTCCACCACTCCATTTCATATTGAGATTATTCTCTTGGTTTAAAAATTACAGCCTTCTGCCAAGATAAGGTGAAACAGGCAACAAAGCAGGTATTTCCTACACTGTAGATTTGTTCTGGCAGATTTATGATCATTCTTGATTTTTTTAATCCATATATTACTGAAAGTCAACACGTTTCCTTTTGTGTGTTGCTGTTTCGTCATCAGTGCTTGAACCTTCTGGAATTTTGGGCAGATTTAACACATTATGAGATGCATACAAGTAGTGCTTATCCAATACAAATAGAGATAGTTTTAAACTGAGGTTCTTTTTACCTGCTTTATTCAGAGCAAGTTTTGATCCATAGTGTCAGATAGGTTCTTTGTGCTTTAGGTTGTGACAGGTGGTTCTTCTGCTTTTGAAGCGGATTCAGTCACAGCTGCCTAGGAGCTCATGGGATCTAGAGCGGTTGTGGTGGAGTTTGCCATCTTAAGGAATATAGGTCAGGTAAGGAATAGAGGCAGGCTTCTGAGCTTTAGGAAGACAGTCTTCCAGCTCTTCAGTGGGTGACTGCCCTCAGGGACAGGGGAACGGAACAGAGTTAGCAGATTTTTGGGGAAGTCTTCTACTGAGTGCAAGAGTCAGTGGTCCCCAGGAGCCAGAAACTGGGCAAGGAGGGCAAGAGACTGACATGGCTGGGTCAGGAATGGCTGGTCAAACTAAAAAGCAAGAAGTAAATGCACAGGCAGTGGGAACAAAAACATGTAACCTGGAAAAAGTATAGAGATGAATTATGATTGTGTAGGGAGGGGATGAAGATGGCCAAGGTGAAGCTGGAACTGATCCTGGCAATGGGTGGTGTTCACAGCCTCTTACCCACCAGCATCCCCAAGTCCTTCTTCTCAGGGCTGCTCTCCACCTGTTCACCCCCCAGCCTGGATTGTTACCAGGGGTTGCCCCAGTCTAGTTGCTGCATCAGCACTTGAGGTTCCCATGTGCCAGTGCTTGAGTTTGTCCAGGTCCCTCTGGGGTTGTCCCAGATCCTTGTCCTTCTGGTGTCACCTGCACCACTCAGCTTGGTGTCATCTGCAGATTTGCTGAGGGTGTGCTTGCTCCCTTCTTGCTCCCTATTAAATTTTTCTTAATTTAAATAACACTGTTCCAAATACAGAACCCTGTATTGTACAGAACCTGACACCACTGGTCCATTGGGACTCTCAGGTTGCAACTCTCCAACCACTTTCTTATGCATCTAACAGCCCACTTGTGGAACATGGTAATTCAGAAATGTTCATAGCCACTGAATCAAGAAGGGAAAGCTGTAAGACGATTATTGTTGTATTTCACTCTTAATGCAGTATTTACTGAGTGTTTGGTTGGACTGCAATCATGTAATGGCAGTTTATAAAATTAAGAAATTAAATGTGTAACAGTATGAAAATTCCCTGTCAGATACTCTAATTTTGTACAAGTGTATGTGGTTAATTCTGAGAATTACTCAAAAAACTGATATAACCATATCATTTATATTCAAATACTCTAGCAGTATAATCAAAGCAATCAAACATTTCTCATCAAGAAAACTTAAAACATGAGCACAGCTCTGGTCTTTATCTACTTATTCAGGAAAGAATACCCATTTCTTACATCCAAACTGTTTCAGAACTTCTGCAATGATTTTTATGTTAATGTAGTTTACTGATCTGCTGGTATTTTTAATGTTTCTGATTCCCATTTATATATTTTTATTTTGTCAGATAGTGAAAATGGAGTCAAATACTTCCAGATGGCTTCCTGTGGACAAGATAATCAGATCAAACTCTGGCTCATTTTGTTTGCAGATTTCTTAGGTTTGTATAGAAATGTTTTTTGAATACACCGATATCCTAGGTCTTCAGTGCCAACTTAAATCAAAAATCAAATTTATACTACTGGATTCACAGCCAAACTAACCAAAAGTTGAAAGTTTTCTTTTAACTATTAGCTGGAGAACAGCTAAGGCATTCAGCACTTTGTGATGCCACACCATGTAGATTTTATTTAGCAATCTATTTATGAACAAGTGTTGAAAGTAAAGTTTTAAAAAAAATTCTACTGTGGCCTTTCAAGGTGGATAGGTTGAAACCTCTTAATCTGCCTGGCCAGGGAAAGGTTTGTTTCCATGTTGGGCCTTGAATAAGGGCTGGAGAAAAGAATACTTGCTTCTGCAGAAACTAAATGTAGAGACTAGGTAAATTGCCAAAAATATCTTCAGTGGGTACTTTTTTGTCATCTCTTTCATATAAAAATATTGTATGTCCAGATACACATTTAATTATCTAATACCTTGTGAGACATGCTAAGACTACAAAGTGAGAAAGTTGGAGATATTAAAAGGGGAAGTTGTCTCTGTGATCTTTTTATTCCCTTTTTTGTAAACAATATGTCACAGAGTCACATCTTTGGTGGAGCTTTGGGCTTCTTAAAATAGCTTATGTTATAGCTTGTCAAATATGGCCAAATGTAATAATTTACTTCTTGTGTTTTTAGGTGTTCAGTTAAAATATAAATGCACACTGAATGGGCACTCTGCCCCAGTTCTGGCCTGTGCATTTTCTTGTGATGGACAGCTGATAGTCTCGGGGTAAGCAGCACCTTGTTGAAATGTCCAGCTGTCCAGGTTCACGCTTCAATATTATAAAACAGAAAGTTGAAAAGAGTTGAAGATTTCTAAATACTTATTATCAAGTAATAGTTCTTATAGTTCTATGACCTCTAGAGCTGTTGAAGTGTCTTTACAATTGGTCTGTGTCTTGTAGGTGATTGAGTTTGAAATCTCAGGTTTTGGAAAAGGTTATGAAATGAACTTAAGGTTGAAATGGTTTCCTTTTCTTTCTCTGCATCACTTTAATGTCAATGTGTTTTTTTAAGGTCTGTGGACAAGTGTGTCATAATCTATGAAACTGTAAGTATAGCATAATACAAGACCATTTGTTGGGGTGTTCTCTTTAAATAGGAGCACTGTTTCTGCAGTGTCTTAGTAATGAAAAAATACTAAAGAATACAAATGATACCAAGCCAAAATATTTACTGTGCATTTGAGGGTAGGAGGGGAAGGAATCTAAGGAAAAAATATCTCCTGAGAGTTGATCGTCTTTCTCACTTTTTATTTACATTGTGAGGATTTGTCAGTTGATTTCTCTGCAGTAGGGTGTTACTCGATTAATTCCATACTTAGGAGTATTACAAGATTCATATTGTAGTGGAAGAATATTTTGTTATCCTAACCTTAGCTTGGCTTCCAAAGCAAGGAGGACTGTACCTTTTGACATAAAATCAGGAATGGTGATCACAGAAATTCTGTAGTTAGCTATATGTAAAGTGCATATAAAATGGAAACACAATAAAAAACTCAAGAAAAATTTTATGCTAAGTACAATGTCATTAAAACATATTGTTAAAGCATTTTCTGTAATACCTTTGTGATTCACCCGTGTTATATATACCTTTAGTACTGTATAGTATTAATAATTTTGCGGAAAATGAAGGATGAACAAATTTTAAACTTCTTCAGCTTGCCCTGCACATACCTATTGTATTGATACAATTTTTTTTTTTAATTAGCATTAAAGTTTTTCACCAAAACCTGCACAATTTTTGCCCTATTTATTTTAGTAGTTTGAAGTTTAAGCAGGTATGTAAGATGTCCTCTAGAGTTTGGGAGCCTCAGAAAATTGAAAGATGAAGGAAACCACAGCCTAAGTATTTCTTAATATTGTTCATCAGCTTTTGTGGCCTTAGATCTGTATCAAATGGGACAATGAGTTTTCTAGCTGTGAAATCCTCCTTTGGAGATACTTAAAACCTGCCTGGACACCTGCTCTAGGTGATGCTGCTTTAGCAGAAGGGGTTGGACTGTATCATCTCCAGAGATCCCCAACTGTCCTGTGATTCTGTGGGGAAAAGTGGGGACAATAAACCTCTGTGGAAGGGAGAGAGATTTCAACCTATATTAGGGCACTTTGATCATGTTGGACAGCTCAAAATACTGGAGTGCTGACTGATCAATTAAGGATTCAGAATAAGTTTGCTAATCATCTTGCCAACCTGTCTGTACCTGTCAAAGAAATGCTATTTTTCATAGGAGGGAAAATCTTTCAATAACAAGTTAAAACTGCCAAAATTCAGGAATTTAGTTTTTTAGTAGTGTTTAGTGGCCAAATAGAGAGTAGGCCAAAAAGGTATGGTTAATTATTGGTCCAGTTGAAGGATTGTGGTTTGACCCCCACAATGACCCTTTTCGGTAACTTCTAATACCAGATTTGTAGAAGAAATGTCTTTATTTACACAACCAACCACCAATATGGATTTAATTCAGTCAGTGTTTCTGGAACTGTTCTCGCTGCATGTTCCATGCTGGCTGATTGTGCAGGAGAGCAGTACTCCAGGGAATCAAATAGGGTTTCAAGCAGGAAATTCAAGTTGCATTTCTGACTCTGCTGCTGATCAGCTTTGTCAAGGTTGCGTAATTTCTCTGAAGTTAGCTTCTGTCACCTTTCAAGAACCAGTATTCTCTGTTTTGAAAGGATGCATGCAAGTGAAGAAACAATTTCTTATTCTTTAAGACTTAAAATCACAAAAAACTCTTTTACAGAGTACTGGCAATATCCTTCATACTTTGTCTCAGCATACAAGGTAAGAAATCAGCATGATCATTCTATTCCATAAATAAAAAAAGTCCTTTTCTCACGAATTTTCAGACTTTTTTTTTTATTTGTAGATATGTTACAACTTGTGCTTTTGCACCACACAGTCCCTTACTTGCCACAGGCTCAATGGATAAAACTGTGCACATATGGCAGCTTGACCTTAAGCAACCCTGTGCAGGTCAGTGTGTGAAGTATTTGTAATCTGTTCTTTAAATTCAAAACACCATAAAGATACAAAAATCCCATATTCTTACCTGCACTTAATGTGTAAAATCAGGACTGTGTGCATGTTTTTTTCTTCTAATTGACTGACTGATTAATGCCAAGAAGAGGTATTCTCTTTTTGATATTTTATAAAGAAAAATATACTAAACGTATCTTAATTTCATTAATTTGCTGTATCTGTTTCTTTTTGTATTTGCAATTGCATATTCTCTGGACAGCATTTAAGAGATAAATATTATCGCCCGAGTGCTGAAAAACTTCTTGGACACCCATAATTTGTGATGAGTTGAAAATAATGCTAATTGCCAATTATAAATGCACCTTACCAGTCATTACAGGTGAAAAACTAATTGTACAAATGACATTAATGCCATTAATATAGGATAACTAATGGTACAAATTACACCAGTGTCACACTGTATTGGGAACGGCAAAAGTATGACACAGACTCTCTCCTGGGTTGTTCAGGAGAGCATGGTTTATTACCCCAGATTTTCTTCTGTAGACAAGTACAAGAAAGTCCGGAAAGGTAAAACTCTTATTGGTCAGTAAACTACGTATCAGCATGTGTACACCACCCCTTAGACCTTCTCTTGCAAGAAAACAAGAAAGTGACCAACAACACAAAGGCTGTCTTCTATCTCTAAGGATTATTTTGATTCCTCTTGATTTCTCAGGCCACATTCTCAGGCCAGTCTGAGAAAGTTATGTGACTTGCTTTTCTACAGACACTGTGCTCCCTGCTTGCTTCTTGCATTTAGCATCCACAACACCAACACCTAAAATTTGTGGAACAAAGGTACATAATGTCTTTGTTTGAAGGACAACAGTAAGTTTGGATTTTGGTGTGCCCTTCTAAGGAGGTGCAAGATTATTCCAGTGTCTGCTAACACTTTCCTGGTTGTTTGTTCAAATGTGTCAGAAGTGCAGGCATCCAAGAGATTAAATTCCTCTAAACTTTGAAAATTAATAGATAAAAGGAAAAATCAAATTACTGCCCTCCCTCCCAAAGGAATGTCTAATAAGCATTTATTTTATTAGAGGAAGAATGTATAGTACTGAGAACACACAAAAACAGGGTCTGTTAGTGACATTGTTTATTTGAACTGAAAATTTCATTGTTGGTTGCTTTTGGGGGGTTGTGGTGAGGTTTTTTTTTGTGGGGGAGAGGGGAAGATGTTGTTTGTTTTTAATTTGTTTGTTTGTTTTGTTTTGTTTTTTTAACTCTTTTTTTATTTCCAAAGGAGATACTGTAGAAAATGAATCAAAGGTGGCTGTTGAGGACTGGTCAGAGGATGATGTTTCAGCCTGGCTCCGCACACAGGATTTAGCAGACTTTGTTGGACTTTTCAAAATGAATAATATTGATGGCAAGGAACTACTGAATCTTACTAAGGAAAGTCTTGCTAATGAATTAAAAATTGGTAAGAGTATTGAAATCCAAGGAGTTTTTAATCTCTAAAGTACTTTCAAATGTTGGAATCAAAGCAAGTTGGGAGTTCCATGCATGGATTTTTTTTCCCCTGAAATGCCTTTTTTAGTTCATTTCCAGGGCTGTTAAAAACCCCCTAATGTTACACTGTCCACAGTATTCCTTTTTTGTGTGTTTGCTTATACCTGGAGACATACAATGCACTTCTACTAATGATGCTGTTAAATGGTCTTACCTGATTTTGTTTCTATTTTCCTTGTTCGATCTTGTAGTATTATTATTAAGCTGTGGAAAAGGAATTTCAGCTTTTCTCTATAATTAATGTTTCTCACTTTGGTAAATAGGGTGGTCTATAGTTTTTCCTATCAGTTTGCAGAAGTACCACGTTTAGAATTGCACATTTTCACCAACCTTAAACAGTGAAATTCTTAAGTGTGCATTTTATGATGACTTCTGTTAAGGATCAAGCAAAGCTTGCCTGGCTCAGACACTTTCTAATACATCAGGTTCATACACTGTCCTGTTGCTTTATTGCATAACTGTGATTACATTTTAGAAGGAATCACAAGGAAGTGCCATATTAGTAGTGATTCCACAGCGGTCATTATGAAATAAGTTTAAGGATAGTGAACTGCACTGGAACTTTCAAAATACAAGTTCTCTATTAATTTCGATGGTAAGATTTATGTGTACATTAGGTGCGAATATGTCTGTCAAAGTGAGGCCAAGTATAACAAAAGGCTGAATGAGGTAAGAAGCCTTTTAAAAAGTACAGTTGGATACTGTTTCTTGTAGGAAGACTGCTCCCTTCTTTTTTTTGTGTGTGTGGAATTGGTCTATATTGGATCATATTATCTCTGTGTAACAGCTGGCTTTGTTGAAGTCTAGAAATAACAGAGATGCTGGGAATCTGTCAGGAATTGTCATTCATGAAAGACACTTGGCTTCCTCAGTTTATGCTAACATTTTCCTTAGCACTGAAGTAGCCTAAAACTTTGTTGCAGCAATTGCCAGCTGAGTCTAATCAGATAATGCTGAGTAGAAAGTCCTGTGAGAACTGAATGTAGTGTGACCGATGACCTGCTATAGAGTTCTCTGTGGGGAAAGAAATCAACAAAGGTATAGGAATTACAGCCTCATATATCTGACTTGAATAATGGCTCTCTACCTGCCATAGCCCAAGCATTTACAAAGTAGGAAAATACTATCTGCTTAAAATGAGCAACTTTTTCTGTGTTACTCAAATTCCCATTTAACTAAATTTTAGGAGTCTACCACCATACAAACACTTGAATGAGCATCTCCTTTCTCTCCCTGATAACCTGTTTTCTTTGCTCTGAGAATGTGATGTAAGATCTTGACCTCTAGGAGTTTTTCAGTCTTTGCAGTTTGGATGACATCAGTGTTCTTGTAAAAACCACAGGCTCAGGCACCTTTCAGCTGTGCCTCTGCAAACCCTAGACAGCAGTGCTGTAGAGGAACAGACCAGGTGTGACCAGGTGAAGGGAAATCAGTCTGTTGGAGGTGCTGGCAGCAGCCGAGCACAGCTGTACCTTCCCACTGGCACTTTGTCCCACACCAAGGGCCAGCCCTGCAGTGTCCCGTGCCAGGGTGTGGCTGCAGTGAGACTGTGTGAGTCCAGTGTGTGGCCACCAGGCCACTGCTCTGCCACGGCTCTGCTGCACTTGCACTGGTTTTACTGATTGTTTTCATTACTGCCCCAAGCTCCTGTTGCACAGCGCAGCAGGAGAGAGCGCCTGTGGCAGAGCTGACTAGAGTGGGAGCCAAGGCTGGCTGCAGGGCTTTGGTTTAGGGGTGTGGTGAGATGGAGCTGTGTCTTCTGCAACACAGCTGCTGACTATTGCAAGACCTGACCTCTGCCTTACCTGTCTGCTCTCCACTTCATGTACAAATAATTTTTCAGAGTCTCTAGGCCTGCGCAGTAAAGTTCTCCAGAAAATTGAAGAACTGAGGATGACAATGATCTCGGTTTCTGTTCCTGATGAGTTCTTATGTCCTATAACAAGAGAGCTTATGAACGATCCTGTCATTGCCACAGGTATGTCTTTGCATGACATGGATTAAAACTAATTACTTGAGGGTAAAGATAGGCCTATTTTTGTGTTCCCACACCTATCTTGATCATCAGGCTTTGAAAGAAAAACTAATCTAAATAGCTGTTACAACAAACCAGAATTGTGATAAATGTTTAATTTGCTGAATTAGAGCTCTGATATGGAGAAAAATACTGTATCAAGCAGCTTCTTCCTTTTTTTAATGTGCCTTCCTTTATGTGCCTTTGTAAAAACAATTACAAGCCTAATTACAATGTTGGCTCAGTAAGTGCAAAATGGAATTGTGCATTCAGTGGGGCAAAAAGCAAACCAAGAAATCAAACCAGCCCCCACCCCCTCCCCCCTGCCCCCCCCAAAATACAGGCTCATTACTATGCTTAGCACACCATCTATAGGGCACTTACTTAAAAGTTTGTACAGAATGAGATGCCTTTAGATGCAGCAAGCCTTTGAAACTGTGATATGCCAGTAGCATAAGATGTCACAGTTACATTTTTGAAGAACTAGTACTATGTAGTTCTGTTCTTGGGGGGAAGGGAAAGAGGAGCATAAGAGCATCAGAAGATCAGTATAATTTTTTCTGTTGCTCTTTAAACAGCGACTAACTTCATCCAGTTCTGAGGTATTAAGACTTCTGAGAATTAAAATGGCCAAAATATGAAGACATCTGCTAACTGCTGGAATGATGGTGGCTTTGTTCAATAAGGAGACAAGAGTATAGCTATGTTAGAGGAGGGGAACAAGGCCCAGGTTTGTATTCCACCACAGAGATTCCTGGGTGACTGACATTTAGCTGGGGCCTACTTTCTGTTCTGTAAAGATCAACTGCTTCAGCTACCAACTCTAAGAGCCAAAAACTAAACCTGGCCAGATGGTGAGGGCTCTGTGCAGCTCAGGGCTGGGTCAGCCAGGCAGACAAGCCCCCTGTTCAGCAGAGCAGCAGGCTTTAGCCGGCTTGTTAGGCAATTGATAGTAATGAGCTTTTACTTCACATTATGGATCATTCAAATTGAAAAGAAAGTCTTATTTAACTTGTGCATAATATATTTTGGTGCTTTGCAGGCAGAGATAGATACATAAAACTAGCCGGAACTGTTTATACCCACAGTAAAGATTTCACATACAGTGTACTTATTCCAGAGCTCAGTTTTCCTGTTTGGATGTATTTCCTCACTTCCCTTTTACATTTAAACAGCTAACATCTACACAGTGCCACAGTGCCCGAGCCTCCGTAATATGAGCTTTTGTTGATGGTTTCTTTGCAGATGGCTATTCCTATGAAAGGGAAGCCATGGAAAACTGGATCAGCAATAGACGATCTAGTCCCATGACGAATCTTCCTCTCCACTCTCTTATGCTCACACCAAACAGGACACTAAAAATGGCTATTAGTCGCTGGCTGGAGAATCAGCAGAAATAGTCAAACCACTTAATTTTGAAGTTGTTTGTTAAAATTAATTGAAATTTTATGCAGCTGAAGGAATTCACTGTATCGGAAACAATCAAAAGAAGTTGTGTTTTTCTTCTAATCTGTGGCTGGTTCAACCTTCACTGATGGAAACTCCCAGAAAAACTTTAAGTTCCTGGTAGTTCTACTTTGTGGTATTTCTGTTTAAGAATCAAGTACTCAAACTCAGGAACTCAGTTTTTCAAATAAATTTTTCTTAGAACTTTTTACTACGTTTATGAGTTTTGAGTCTTCATCTTACCTTCTGAATGACTGACTTGGCAAGAAATAGCAAAGTATAGGAACTAAATTTCTTTTTCTACTCCAACAAAGCACAATTTATGTGTCTTTCTCTGTTCCCCAGTACTGGACATGTGGTTGGAAAAGCTGGGAGAGAGTTTCTCCTGTAACCATCAGAGACTGTGTCTCATCCCACAGGTATATTAATAATCTTTATTTTGTATGGAAAGAATACAGTAGCTGTGCAAAAATAGAACTACAGGACAAGACTAATATAGGACTTGTACAAAATATCAAAGAAACGGTAAACAATAAATAAGCTGAAGTGTAATGATGCAAGCTGCAAAAGGATGTGCAGAGCTGGGTACAGCTGTTTACAATGTACACAGAACACTGTAATCAAGCATGATGAGAAGAGTATAAAGCTGAGCACTCCAACCGAATTGCACTCATAGGAATGTCACTGCAGCAGTTCATTTTCAGAATGTTCTTGCCAATAAAACCTCTCATTTCCTCAAAAAACCAATTTCTCAACTTCATCCTATCATGCAACTGCACATACGCTTTTCCTTAAACTTTCGCGTTCACTCCATCCCTTTCTTGGGTTTTCCATAAAAGCATTTACTAAGCATTTACTTGTACCTTTTTACAAATAAACAACAGATCATTTTGCTTTAAGATAGCACCCAAAGGTGATTAGATACCCTATATAAAGTGCGATTATTGTTAATAGGCCATAATATTGTGTTCTTCAGTGCAATAACCAATATGGTCAAAGCCTCTCAATACACATGCAAATGTCACTCATTTTATTTAATTGCTTCTAGTTACTGAAAATAGTTCTATTTACATGTCAAAGCATGGCTGCTTAAAGTTTACTCATACACAAATTATTTATGCTTCCTAAATGTACATCATGCAACCCAAATTAGATCCCACTAGAAAAGTGTTAAAATAATTTGATTTAAAAAATGCATGCATGTACAGATCTGAGTATTCTGCAGCAGATTTTCTCCCTTAGTGCTGCTGTGAGACACCAGCACAGAAGCATTTGAGAGGCACGAGTACTATGTGTGAGATGCAAAAGAACCCAAAGCCAAGACTGAAACCCTACGTGAAAGGAAACGCTTATTTAATGGTAACATGTAATGGAAAGGATTTCTCTGCTCGGGCTCCTAGGCCAATCTAATTGAGTCTTTCTACACAAATTTGTTATTCCAGTTACTGTCACTGCCCTGTGATGGTAGGAACAGTTGGAAGTGGTTGTATCCCATTAAAGACTGCTCCCTAGGACCCAGCCATGCCCAGGCACTCAGTGTTTTGTAGAGCGATGGTGTGAGCCAGGTCTACCCTGTCCATTGACAGAACAGTATTTATACATTTGATTCAATGAACGATCGCTTTGGTTTTGCCGTGGTGATGTGACTGAGGTGGCCGTCCTGAGTGCTGTGGGATGGCAGTTTGCCTACAGCATCGGGGTATAAATGAGAACCTTGGCTGGGTGATCTGCTGTCTGTACAGTGGAGAGGGATTTGGCACGTGAGCTCCTCATGTTCTTTTGCTTGCACACTGCTCTGGCTGCCATCTCCTGGGGCTGCAGCTGTAGAGGATCCTTTAGATGAGTAGTGTTTAACTGAGAACTGCTCCAAGTTGGAAGGCTGAATGCCTGCAGAAGCAACATTTGTGGATAGCGAATCTGCTGCCTGAGAGTGCCAAGTGCGACTAGATTGTGTGCTTTGCTGCTGAAACCTTGCAGTCTTGTCCATGATTCCCATAAATGGAGTATTGCGAGGTCGGTGCTCAGCACCCTGAGCTTGACTGACAGTGGTCTCCTTGAGTCGAACATCTGGGCCCAGCCCCTTAACACTGCCTGACAAACTGCTGGCTGAAATGAAGCTGCTTGATGAGCTGGCAAAAATCACACTACTGGCTGGAGAGCCAGAAGAGCCACCACTGGGTACAGGGCTTTGCTGCCTTGAGTCACTGACATGCATTGGAGCAGAGGCTGTTGATGTGTCACCAGGTTTAGATTTACTAGCAAAAGAACGAGAAGAGAGAGTCTCATGATGCTGTGGATATGAACGCTGGCTGGGCACAAACTTCTCATTGTGCAGTTCAGCAGTGGGATCTGTGGAAATGCTTCCAGATGCCAATGTGCTTGTCTCATCCACATACTGACTTTTAGAGTGCCGGATGGGCAAGGGACTGTGGGGAAGCTGCTGCAAGGATGATTGTGTCTTGGTGCTACACTGACTGCTTCCTGGTTTAGATCCAGGCTGGCTGGAGCTCAGATGCTGATTAGTTTTTACGATCTGTGCCTGCTTTGTTGGCTGCATGATCAAGCCTGGCTCTCTCAAGTACTTGTTGCTTGTTCTGTTTTGAGGGGACACAAACTGAGCTTTCTGAACACCTTCTTGAAGGGTTCTGCTAAATAGTGAAGCAGTCGAGGGACACTGCAGCCTTTGTGGAGGGGAAACAGATTCACTGGGGTGTGGCAGTTCATCTTCCCTGTCTTGAAGATTCGAATTATCATTCGCACCTGGTACAATGCCCTCCTCCTCATTATCAGAGTTGTTGGTTTGTTCAAGTAGCTGTGGAGACTGATGTTTCTGTTGCTGTGTTCTCTGGAACTGTTTGCATTCCTCTTCCACCCGAGCCAGGAGACGTTTTATCTCCTGATTGCTGGGGCACAGCTGAGTGGCTTCCCGTAGGTCAGCAAGAGCAGCAAGTAGCTTTCTGTTTAGGAATAAGTAAGTAAACAATGAAAATTGGGGAAAATCTTGAGTCCCAGCGTTGCCTACTACTAATCCACCTCCACCCTTGCAGCAAAATATCCTGATTTGTTGCTTCCTGCTGCAGGTAGTGACAAATTAGAAGTGGAAGCTCTCCACCTCAAGAAATTCTTAACTACGGTGGAAGTGTAGACCCAATATCTTGACAGCCCATGGAGGCAGGGAGAACTCTCTGCTGGGAACACCAGGAACTGACACTTTGAACAGCTTTTGAGACAGAGTTACCTCAAGTCGGGAACCTGCTGAACTCTGCTTTATGACCACTTACTGATATGTTTAGGAAAGACACAGTGAATCCAAAAAGGCACCTCTTCCTGTACTTCAGCTATATACTATACTATACTACAAACTATAGTTTGCAACTCTTCCAACCTGAAGAGGTAGTTCCTTCTCTCTCCCCTTGTTTTTGTCTTCAACTACTAATGATTCATCATATTCTGTCCTACCAAAGCAGCCAGTAATAAATCATAAACTCAGCAATAACTAATGAAGTGCTGGGATTGGGTGGCACACTGCTGGCCACATGTGGAGCAGCAGACCCATTCACTGTTACACTTGATCCCTCTTAAAATGAATTTGTTATTTTCTGGACTGCCTCATAAGTATTTACAGAGTATTCAATATGGCTATTTGGATGTGGTTGGCTTTATCTGATAGAGAGACCTAGTACAAATGCAAAGAACACTAAAAAATATCTTTTTCTTTGCAAATTTGAAATATAACTAGCAGAAAATAACAATTCATTAAAAATGGCAAGTTAAAAAAAAAATAAATCTGTGCAGACAGATGCACAGAATCAGACAGTACCTGCTGTTCCTCTTGGCTCTTGCTCTGGCATAATAGGCTTCATAGCACTTAGGCTTCAGATCCAAGGCTTTGGTAGCAAACTCCTCAGCCATACCAAAATCCTAGTAACGGAATCAAACACACTCATTACCCAGCGACAGTCAAAGCAAGCTGCCAGCTCCGGGTCGTGCTCCAGAGGCTCCTGCCCCAGTCAGCAAGAGCAGGTATTTGCTCAGAGCACATACAGGCACAGCCATAGCACCTGGATGTACTGTTTGATAACAAAGGCTGGTAGCAGTGTTTTCCTTTCACTCTTAATTTTAAAAGTACCACAACGATCCAGCAGTTCATCATTCCAAAATAACTGTGTGATTTAAGACCAGCTGTAATAGATCCCCCATGACAACATGCCCTCATCTTATAAGCTGCCTGTTCATTGACGTGATGAAGCCCAAGATTAGGATATAGCAAAAAGGATTCTAAAACAGCACGGATAGATGTCCACATACAATGCCAGTAACACAGTAGGGTATAAGTCTCAGCTTCCCAATGCCAGAGAGGCAGCAGACCAACAGCACGAGCTTACGTTTGTTTTGCGGCGACATCGTGACAAGTTCAGGTATAACGTAACTCTCAGCTCAGTGAAGGCTTTCATTTCCTCACCAAACCCTTCCCTTGGGAACTTCCTCAATGCATACTGATAGCGCTGTGCTGCTTCCCTCATCTTGCCTTTCTGCAAATTTTAGGGAACAAGAGGTTTTAAAATTTTTAATACTGTAATACTGCTGCAATAAATAAAACATTTATATTTGACATCTACCAAGAAATGCCCTTCAAGCAGAAAACACAGAGATTGATGTTTTAATAAATATACACAATATGAACTACACTGTCAGACAAGCACGGCGAGAGCCTGCATGTTAACCAGAGTTTGTGTTTCTTTCTGAACTCAAATGTTCAAAGTATTTGGTGAGGATAATACTCACACTAATACATACTATTATTACCAGAAAAAATCATGTATGATTCTCATTTTGTTTTGAACAGAGTAGTAATATATCAGATTATATAGCTGAAAAGAAGGCATAAAGGCATTCAGTCTACCTTCAGGCAGAAGTCCAATGTTCTGCTGCCAGAAAAAAATAAAAATCTACCTACTTTATACAGCATATTTCCTTCTTCCATCAGTTTCTGCAGAAGAATCAGGAGAATATCAGGTTTGGAGGTGGCCATTGCCCATGCTGCATTTCCTGCAAGTTAAATTTTAAGGGTCTCTGACAAAAGAGAAGACAGCATGTTTCTGCTGTCTACCACAGTAGAAAGCCTGGTCCTACTTCAGTATATATTCCACGTACATGGAACTAGTATTACAATTATCATAATAATTAGGGTGTACACATTTAAAATAAATCTATGCCACCACCTGGACAGCAACCAGGTATTAAATGGTCTGATACATTTCAACCCTGTGAAGGAATGTACAGAAGTCACAATTAAATTCAGGCC